TTCTTCAAAAAATATAAAGCTCACATATTACTTTATTAATACATGTATTAGCAAGCCATATTTAATTACTCCTTTTTCTTAACACCAAACACCAAAAATAAAATTACATACATTATGTCAAAGTGACTCATTAAAACTATATTTATCATCTCAGAAAGCAGAAATTACAAGAATCAACAATTTTCATTTCAAAGCTATTCAACAGACAAGTTCTCCTGTGCTGTAAAAGGCCTTGAGTACCTTCTGTATACACGGTGTATACACACACACACACACACACACACACACACACACACACACACACACACACACACACACACACACACACACACACACACACACACTCTGTGCTAATATTTTCTTGTGCTGCTTGAATCGGCAACAAAGTTCCTTAGCTAGAAGACTCAGAAACAATCTTCTTTTGCCTGTCCGCCCTGTGCATGCCTTATACAAAATGTAGGCATTCACCACCGCCAGGTTCAGCATATTGTAGAAAACCGCTACTGGTCACCTGCGTGTTGCTGCTCTTACAGAATACATGCGTGCCATTTGGTCCAACACGTCTACACCACACTGTAAAAGAAGAGAGAGAGAGTCATGAGTATATGTTTTTTCTATAGGCCTGTATAGCACACATCAGAAAACATTGTAGCACTGATGTAAAATTATACACACATTCGCATACCTTCATGTGGTTATAGTTTCTTATTGCTTTGGGTTTCCTCTTTCTGCCGTCACTGATCGTCACATCTTAGTGCATGGAACTAAGAACACACACAGTCTTGGTTTTTTTAGGTCCATAAATTGTGAAGGAGACACCGCCACTTCTAAGCACTGAAGTGGAGAATTCCTCTCGCTGTGCAGTGTCTTTTGCAATTTGAGGAAGTTCACGGCGGACTTTATTCACCGGCACGGTGAATGAAGTCCACAAAACAACGTTACTTGGCACAAGTAACGTTGTTTTGCGCTGCAGTAGTCTGTGCGACAGCGACAGTGAAGTGAAGGAATTGTCCGTTGTGACGTTTCTCCCATCATCCAAAAACAGCTCCACTAGTTTCATGACCACGTTCTCTGCCAGCCTCTCTTCCTTCTGACGACTGGGGTCCTTTCCCAAGTAGATGCACTGCAGACATATTTGGTCTCCAGATCCGTGGCCATCCAGAACTTGATCCCAAATTTGTCTGGCTTGGTTGCGATATACTGTGTGAATGGACACCGAACCTTGGTAGGGAAAAGCTGTTCATCTATGGTCATGTGTTCTCCTGGAATGAAACTCTTAGCACAGTTCTCATTGAAGCGTGTCCAGATGTCAGAGATTGCCTCAAATTTATCTGTTTTCACCCGTTCTGCCCGCGTGTCCTTGTCATCAAATTGAAGGTGTTGCATAATTAAAATGAATCTATCTCGGGGCATTGTCTCTTTGCTTACTGGCACCAGAAATCTTTCTGACCAGCAATCTAGAATGGCACCAACGGGACACATGATTGCTCTTAGGGTCAGGGGTTTTTTTTTTTTGTTTTTAATTTTTGCTATTTTTACAGGAACAGGCAGAGGAGAGAACATGTAAAGCTGGAGTGATCACACATGTCACTCATGTCATTGTATTAGCAACTTGTCATTCTGTTTTCACACATTTTTTTATAAATAAAATGGACTTGTGTTTCCATATATTGTGAATGTGACCAAAAACAAATGTCCATTACAGAGGCCATAAATGAATAGGCTGGTGTGGTGGGGCGTGGTCTGCGGTGCCGTGAAGGGAGGGCGGATGCACCTGCACGGCATCCTTAATCACGCCCGCCTAGTTAAAACACGGGGATTCAGGGGTTTGGGTGTGTTGTGTTGAGATGTACATATCCGAATGATACTCCGTGGTCCCGCCGTGCCTTATTCTCGCCACAGCTGGTTCTCAGGAGGGTGTAGGGTCATATAAAGACAAAATTATACAGAATATATATAACATAATATAATAATATGATATATATAATATATAACTAACCAGACCAATTTGTGGTTTGCAAGGACGAGAGGACCATAGTTGGATAAATGTGTCAATTCTAGCTAACAGCAAGATCAGAAATCAGAAACACAATGAAATCAAGGAGTACCAGGGGCTTAAGGACCAACTGGAGGTAAAGTCCAAATTGTCTTAGTAGTAATAGAAGCATGAGGAGCTGCCACCCCAAATCAGGATGAGTGGCTTCAGCAGATTCCAGGCAGAACATCAAGGGTCTCTGTACAGAAGCGTGCAGTTCTAGGAGCAGTAATGGAAGATACTGCATAGAACAATATACATACACAATACATATGAAGTATTGACGCTGTTATTTATGTTTTACTGTAAAATTCACTGAAGGCTCTGACTACTTGAAAGTAGACCATGATTTGTTAAAAATTACCTGTAAAAATTCAAATTGTTACGATTTGTTCGAGAAGTGAAACTGATAACCTTAATAAAGAAAAGAAAAACAAAGGCAATAAAGTCTGAAGCCTGAGCGTTTGGCTTACAGGGATCATTTGTATATATGTTAAATTTATTTTTCCAAACTTTGGGCATCCACCACTGTAACTGTATGCAAATGACAGAAAACAAATGCAAGTAAAATTGGGTCCTTTTACGTTGTGGGGCCCAATTATTTAAACAAAAATAAAGATCAACCATTTTTTTTTAAATCTGCAACATAAGATAATGAAATAACTACAGATATTTATACCTAACTTATCTTGTCTGTGAACTTGAAAAGAAGTAGGCAGAGAACAATAGAAAATGTTGCTGAGATGAAGAGTTATAATGGTGTCCTCTGGTGGACATGGCCTGAACTGCTAACCAACTTCAAGAAGTCACCCAAAATTGTCTGGATTTATCTTAAAGTTGACACAGCAACAAGTAAAGTACTTATTTTATAAAAGTAATACATGATATATATGACTTTTATATGTTAATTATTTATATATGATAGTGTTTCATGCAGCACAGTAAGACCAAAAAACAAAAACAAAAACAGAGTGAATTTAAAACAAAATTCTTGTCACCAGTGTTTACCTCTATGGTTCAAATCCTATTTTTCCTTCTGGGTGCGGCTAAAAAAGGCTAAAGACTGGCAGACGTTTTGACTGTGGAGCCACACTTAGCAGTGACATTAAATGAACAAGAATACGACAGGACAAGTGACAAGTTAAACCACTACAGGGCTGCAACAATAACATTAATATCACCTCTTCAAAGCCAGAATACAATTCAATCAGACAACTCAAACACTGGTTGCATATGGTTACCCTTAAAGAAAGTAACTAGAGACAGGCTACATAATCATATATATATATATATATATATATATATATATATATATATATATATATATATATATATATATATATATATATATATAAAACACCAAGCACGCCCCTGCGGGCGGTTTATCCTTCAAGCTCGGGTCCTCTACCAGAGGCCTGGGAGCTTGAGGGTCCTGCGCAGTATCTTAGCTGTTCCCAGGACTGCGCTCTTCTGGACAGAGATCTCCGATGTTGTTCCCGGGATCTGCTGGAGCCACTCGCCTAGCTTGGGAGTCACCGCACCTAGTGCTCCGATTACCACGGGGACCACCGTTATCTTCACCCTCCACATCCTCTCGAGCTCTTCTCTGAGCCCTTGGTATTTCTCCAGCTTCTCGTGTTCCTTCTTCCTGATATTGCTGTCATTCGGAACCGCTACATCAATCACTACGGCCATCTTCTTCTGTTTGTCTACCACCACTATGTCCGGTTGGTTAGCCACCACCATTTTGTCCGTCTGTATCTGGAAGTCCCACAGGATCTTAGCTCGGTCATTCTCCACCACCCTTGGGGGCATCTCCCATTTTGACCTCGGGACTTCCAGGTTATACTCGGCACAGATGTTCCTGTACACTATGCCGGCCACTTGGTTATGGCGTTCCATGTATGCCTTGCCTGCTAGCATCTTGCACCCTGCTGTTATGTGCTGGATTGTCTCTGGGGCATCTTTACACAGCCTGCACCTGGGTCTTGCCTGGTGTGATAGACCCCAGCCTCTATGGATCTTGTGCTCAGAGCTTGTTCTTGTGCTGCCATGATTAGTGCCTCTGTGCTGTCTTTCAGTCCAGCTTTGTCCAGCCACTGGTAGGATTTCTGGATATCAGCCACCTCCTCTATCTGCCGGTGGTACATACCGTGCAGGGGCCTGTCCTTCCATGATGGTTCCTCGCCCGCAGGGGCGTGCTGGGTGTTTTTATATATAATATACATGAATCCTGATATAAGAACAGGAGTAACTTTACTTATGAACGACAGGATGAGTTAATACTGTATGATTCATAGATCACGACTTTCAGGTCCAATTAGTTACAGAATATTATTGTGTGATTAACGATAGGAAAGTGAAAATGAGTTTCTGTTAAAAGTGCTTCATAAATAAATGTTTATAGAAATGGAAAATACAATTCAGTCTGAGAGTTCAAACACATTTCAGATATTTTTAATCAATTGTTCCCCATAGCTCATTGTTTCATATTTTTTAAAACAAAATATAGTCACAGTAGATTAAAGTCTGAATCGCTCCAGCTGTGTTTATTACAAATTGTCATACTGAGATATGCTCAGCAGTTTATCACCTCCACACCTTTCTGTTCAACAACTTATATTTAATAAACTGAATATTTAATGCATTCAAAACACAACTGCATGCAGCAAGTAAATAAATTAAAAGCATTATTATTGAGGAATTGAACTGATGTAGATTAAAATAATATTCATGCTACAACAAAGCATTTAAGGATGCAAACGATTCAAAGGAAGAGGAAGCAAGTTTACTTTTAGTTTCAAAGATGCAAGATATGTGAAACCAAAGAATATGAACCAGCAGCCCACCCCTCGCTCTGATAAAGAGTACTGCTTAGTTTGTCTGATGACTCACTTTGTATCTTTTGGTTTGAGCTTTTACTGTCAGCTTTACGCTCAAAGTCTGGACTAAAACAACAATGGAGTTGAGAGATGCTGGTCGTCTGCTTGTGGGTCTCATCTTTTACATTTCAGGTATCAGAGATTATTTATGAGTTCTTATGTAAAAATCGTTAGTTAATATTAACTTAAGAAAAAGATCTTGTAATATTTACAGATGAGGAATTTTAGTTTAGATTAGTTTCTAATGTAAAGTACTGAAAATTATTAAGTAATTAATAACAAAGACATATTAATAAGATAAAAACATTTATTAACTCCCTTCTGTTAAAGATGTTAATGGAGGAGAAACCAGGATCTGTGCTTTCAAAGGTTCATCAGTGGATCTGCACTGCTCACATCAACATCTGACTTCAAGCAGAAAATGGTTCACTATAGACTGGGATGGTTACAAGTTTGTTCAGAGTGAGCTCTCTGTGGATGGACAACGTGTAACATACAACATGTCTGAAGAGAAAATCCCAACTTTAACCATCAATGATCTAAGAGAGAGTGATGCAAATGCTTACTGCTGTATGAAGACTGCAGACAGTGCAGGAAACTGTTGGCTAAACAGAATTACTCTCCAAGTAGTTACAGGTACAGTGACTTTTACTTATTACTTACTTTCCAAATGACATCATTGTATAAGTTGTTCTCCATCATCCTCTCAGAGCTGCAGGTAAAGGTGATTCCTGCCACAGAGGGACAGACAGTAACACTGATGTGCAGCAGCAGCTGTCCTCTGACTGAAAAGCCTGCAGCCTACATCTGGTACAAGAACAGAGAGTTTCTCTATGAGGACTGGTCTCCCTGGTACCAAGAGCTGCTCAGCAGTGAGGAAGCAGTCACATACTCCTGTGCTGTCAAAGGCTACGAGGATCTCAGAGCCCTCAAGTCTCTGTGGGTGAGTCATGATGTTTATAGTCCCTACAAACCCTTCAGCAAAAAACTGTAAAAATAACCTCAGTAAAAATATTAAATCTCATTTCTTTTTGTCCAGATTCCATCACACAGACATGCTTCAGTGTCACTTATGCTTATGGAAACATGTGTTCTTATAATCAGACATCAGTGGATGAGCCGTGCTCCATCACATACCCTAGAGGTGAAGTTTCCACAAACAAATTGTATAAACACTTCTCCAAACCTTTATATCATATTCGTTTAAACTGCACAATTATGTGACTTAAATGAGCCGCATGATTATATCTAAATAGTGACGAGAAGTGTATTTATCTTCGATCGACAGAGGTTTATGTTCAAAGAGCTTCTTCCACCTTGGGATTTGTCACACTGACCTGTAACAACAGCTGTAATCTGACTGACCATCAAGCTGTCTACATGTGGTATCACAACAAAATAAACTATCATGAGAATCAACATTTTTCAACTTATAACTCTTCAACAGACACATTCTCTTGTGGAGTTAAAGGTCACACACATCTTCAATCTAAAAAGTTTGTAAGTGTCAAATCTGTTTTTCTTTTCAACTAATAATGAAACACAGACCAATCAAACAACATTAAATCTTCCATCTATATGTCAGGTGTTCAGGATAAAAACTGCTGGAGAGTGAATTATGTCAGCAGGAGAATCTGTGCTCTGGAAGGATCTTCAGTCAACATCACAAGTGAATACTCACATCCTGATAACATGAAGCCAGAGTTTAAATGTTGGAGTAAAAAATGGAGAAAAGATAAAGTGGAAGTTGAAGAGCTGATTGAGGCTGCAGGTGGTGTGGAGTATCAGGACAACATGAAGAACCAACACATCCTGACCATCAACAACCTGAAGAAGAATGACTCAGGAGGATACACATTCAGATTCAACAAAGATCATGAAGGATGGACACAGTCTGATTTGCCTGGAGTCTTTTTGATTGTCACAGGTAAATCTAAACTCCTCAGTCAGCAGACTTTACTCATTAATATTTCAATATGAGCAGTAGCGCTAGAACTATTCAGATCTTTCTCGGTTATATAACAATGTTAAAATATTCCCTTACAATGAAAAGTTTGTTCTTAATTAAAAGCATGTAAATGCTATGAAAATAACTATAGTTAAAATATCAAAAGTAAAAACTGGCATTTTGCTTGATTTAATATAATAGTTTTAAAATTATATACAAATGAGTTTTTCGACAAAGAAATAATTTTTGTAACAACTTTCATCTTCAATTGAGGCATTTTAATAAAAGAATTACTTAAACGGTTCAGGAAATACAATCATATTTATACGGTCCCCCATTTTCAGAGGCTCAAAAGGGAACTGGATATCTGATAGCAAGATACATTAAGCAAAGAAAGATCCGGAGTTTATTTCAAGTATTTCATGTTTATTTACTAAAATGTTCTGGAAAAATGAAATATTTGGACAAATGAATCAAGATTCATTTGTACCAGAATGATGGCCAAATGCCTCAAATGCAATAGTGTTTCACAGTCCCACTGGATAAGGTATCATGGGCTGGTTGTGTTGTGCCCTTAAACAGGGGAAATAGTGAGGAGAGGTGAAAGAACGGCACAGACACGCAGCTCTCACTCTCACTCGTCTGTATTGAGTTTCAGAAGCAATACAACCAAAACAATATTCTTATGGATGCACTCAGTCTCAGGACAACTGTATCCAAACTAAGTCACTATTGTTCGCTGCATTAGCTGATGAGAATACTTTAGATAACATGAACTGTAGCATTAGACAAAAACATCTTTTAACTCGCACATGTTAGCTGACACAGTCACTAACTTTCCACAGCAATGAAATAATACTTTAAGTACTGCATGTCTTTCAGTAGTTAACTTATACAGATCGTAACAGAAAAATCTTCACACAATATGGCGGAGTAATAGCGAAAACTAGCATACGCAGCAACAGAGATTAACTGGAACTTCTCAGCAAAATGATAACAATGTAATAATCAACAGTAACACACATTTATATAGATTTGTGCATGACAGTTACCTTAAACAGGGGAAATAGTGAGGAGAGGTGAAAGAAAGGCACAGACACGCAGCTCTCACTCTCACTCGTCTGTATTGAGTGAAGGAGGAAGCGCGCGAACCCACCTACTGGAGCCCTGAGGCATTAACAATGGATCGATGCACAATCAACCCAGGCAAAACTTTCACTACTTATCTCCCTCTATATTCCCACTGCATATTCTATTCGAAAACAGTCAAAGCAACAAATAAAACATTAATAAGGGCATGACATGAAATGTAAGGAACAGAGATGTACAACTTCAAAACTAATCAAATTTATGATCCACCACAGTTGCATGGCAGGCAGAGACACAAATACTCACTAACAGAGACGCACACTCAACATGAGGAACCAGCAACGTGACAAGGAACACTGGGAAGCTGGGAAAAACAAGGCACATGTGAAATAAGTCAGACTAATGACAAGGGAAGCAAAACTGAACACAACACAAGAGACTAACAAAATAAAACAGGAACATAACACTGAGACTGAAACACAAATTTAACAGGCCAAAGTAAACACAAAGATAAAACTGAGTAAATATGGGCAACAACAGAAACACAGACATAGGAGGACAGGAAAAACCTGAGAATAACTAACAACGAAATCTTAAACACACATTTAGAATGACACCCTAACCTAAGAAAATATAATATTTAAACTGAAAACTACTCAAAGTCAAATAAATGTTTTATTATTTAACTGAATATGAGGACTGGAGGGTCTGCCTGCAGTCAGGCCTCAATTAAAACTCATGTTTTGTGAGTAATTCATGTTGCGATTTGGAAGAGTTTCATGTCTTGCCTTAATACTATTATTATTACTATTATTATTATTGTTGTTGTTAAATGTTCCTGTTTCAGAGCTGAGAGTGAAGATGAGTCCTTCTGCAGTGGTGACAGAGGGTCAGAGAGTCACACTGACCTGCAGCACCAGATGTCCTCTGACTGACAACACAAACTACATTTGGTACTTGAACAGTCGACCTCTGACCGCGAGCGAGAACCAGAACAAACATCTGATCCTAGACCCAGTCAGCAGGGAGGATGCAGGAAACTACTCCTGTGCTGTGAAAACCAACAAAGATATCAGCTCTGCTCCAAAGACTCTCACTGTCCAAAGTATCACAGGAACATGGACAATTGGAGTTTCTGTAATAGTTCTGGTTTCAATACTTCTCCTTTTCTTCTTTTGATTAGGTACGCAACACGGTGTTTGATTCAAAGTGACAACATTTTATCTCTGGCATGAACTCACTTATTTTTTCTGTTTATTACTTTCAATAATCAGAAAAAAGAGGACTACGAGTCAGTCTTCCACAAACGAAACATCAAACAACATAGTGGAGGTAAAGATTACTGTAGAGTTGGAAAACACATTTTCATACTGAATGATCTTTCTTACAGAGTCAAAGGAGTCAAATCTTTAAGTGAATTATGATGTATCGCTTTTTGTTCTCAGCTAAATCCTGATCCTGTGTGTGAAGACATCTTAGGTGAGCCACAGGTGGAGGATGAAGTCCTCTACAGCAAAGTCTACTTCTTTAAAAACCACACAGATCCTCTTTTGTCTACCATAGAGCCACTTCAGCCAAGAGAAGAGCAGCATGCTGATTACACTGTGGTGAAGTATAGAAATAACACGAGCTCTGATGAAGAATCTGTTGTCCTTTCAACAGAAACAGACCCCACATGGTGTTGAACAAGCCTTTTAACACATCTCTGCAACTGTCATTTAAAATTTTGTGCATCACACTTGAATCTTCATTTTACCTTTTTGCTGTGTTCGACAAAATTAGATTAGGCAGTTCGATGGGCTTCACATGTTACTCATATGAATGGAATAATTCATGATCATGTAAATATTATGCTCATGTATTTTTATTTTTATTCTATTTTAGCAGGTCACGTGCCTTTTGTCTCCCTTTTCTAACCGTGAGAGCAATTACACACAAAGAAAGGTTGTTCACTATAATCCAAGAACAAAGGGATACAACAACTGTAGTGTTTGCTGTGGGGATGACCCTTGTGTGCATGTGCTATTATAGCAGAAGACACTGAAATGCGGGAATGTCACTGCATTATAGCCTTGATTTTGTCACAGTGCAGAATATTTAAGTCCAAGTTTTACTCTTATTTATTTCGTAACAACTGGAAACCTTGTTATGTCTTTTTCAGAACTGTACATTTAACCATTTCATTGCTGTTAGTAATTTTTATTTCATTGACAGTTTGTTCTTATATCATTATATCACTGGTGAATTTTGCCACTTAGCGCTGCCCTTTGTCACTTTTATATATGTATAAACATATGATGTGTTTTTGTGTATATATGTAAACCTTGTTGAAAATTTGGATTTACAAAGTATGACAATTACAAATACAGATATCAGTGTCACAGTATAAAGACAAATAACCTGATTTAGAAATTATTTTATTTGTGGCAACAAGCAGAGATAAAAGGCTTTTCATCTGTAATCTCCTCACCCAGCCCCCACACTTGCATGTGCATTGCTGCGATTGCAATCAGTTTCTAGCAGAGAGTCTTTTTGCGTGCTAACTCAAAGATAATAACAGGGTTCAGTGGAAAATATTACTGAAAACATAACCTGCAAGCGCCAACCAAATACCCATCTGCAGAGACTGCTGCTGAGATCATGAGCTGTGATAATGGCAGCCTACGGTGGGCAGACCACAAACTGCTAAAGAGCAGAACAAGCTAGACTGGTGCTTAATAATGTGATGTTTTCCAAATGGTCACTATTATTATTAATATTATTGTTATTATTATTATTTTAACAGGCTGTAAACATGCCTTGTAAAAATGTTTGTATTTTAAGCATTTTAACTCTTGTGCCATTTTTTATTGCACTCCATCAGGTTTGAGCAGGAGAGTTTTAGAAAAAGTAATGAATACATACAGCATACATATATATACATAAATGTAGAGGAATAATATCAATACTTAGAACAGTCATTGAGACTGAAAGTTACCTGAACCTCTAAAATATTCAGCACAAGACAACTAAGCCCCATTGTTCTTCCTGCAGACAGCAAAAGAACCACAGAGGAAGGACATTCATGTTTACTCTCTTTTCTTTTTGTCCTTGCCTGTCCTGCCCGGCAATCAGAATTATTGTCTGAAGCCCAAGAAAAAGCCCAGCAGATTTATTTCCCAAGTTGACCAAGTTCCGCTTTTGCTGTCCTGGTCCACTTGATAGTAATAGTTTTATAGATAGATAGATAAAATAGAGGATTTTTTATTATGAGTTATTACAATCAGAACAGATAGGACGGGGAGAGGAAAGAGAAAGAAAAAGGAAAGAGAAGTTTGGAAGACAGTTAACAGAAGGAGAGGAGAGATAGAGAGAGAAAAGACACTGAAAATCTGCTGAAAAAAAATGAGCAAAAAAAAAAACAACAGCAGGGAAACCACAGCAACAACCAACATATGCAAAAGTAACAGTAAATAATAAATATTAAATGTTACTGAGCAGCATAGAGTACTAATAATGCATTATGTGTTTAGAGGCAGCAGCCGACCAAGATACTGTGCATCTGTGATTACCTGTTTGTACACCTCTGTGTGTAAGAGCTCTTGTGTTCATAAGATTTCTCCATCTAAATGTCTAATAGTAGGTGTAGGGAGCCATATGCCCCCAGGACATGAAGCAGGAATGGAAGAGACCCAGACCCCCAGACATCCAGTGCTTTCTATGCCTGCTGAACATAAAACAGTCATGTTAGTCCTTCTGTTTTTCCATCCATTATGACCTAGATGAAATTTATTCAAGAAAAAAAACAAGACATACAAAAAAAGTTTTGAGCCTTTGGCTTTTGTTACTGTTATAGGAGGGGTAAATCTGGGATGTCCTTTGGAACATGGTGGGGTTTCCTCATCCTCACACTCTCTCTTGGTAGAAACGAAGGTTTCTGTGCGTGATGCCTACAATCAGTGTAACGTTGCATTTTCAACTGATATTTCTGAACTGAGTGACGTGCAATGTTATCCAGTGGAGACACAGCAGAAGGCAAAGGGAGTACATCCAGTTTAGTAACCATCTTTCTGCCATACAGGAGTTCATAGGGAGAGAGGGAAGTAGTTACATGCTGCGTTGCACGGTAAACTTGAAGCCAATCCAGCACAGTCGCCTTCCATGGTTTGACTGCTGGATTGCTGTCTGGATAGAAGTGCGGAGGCACGATGAAACCTTTCGATTGCTCCATTTGCAGCTGGGTAGTAGACAGATGTTCTGCTGTGGGAGATGCCTCTATTACAGAGGTAAACTGTGTACCATTGTCAGTTACAATGTTCTGGGAGCAGGATTAGTATGTGCAGTTTTGTCATTGAACTGGCAAAGGCGTTTTGTGAGCACAATCCCTTGGTGACTTCCATGTGCCAGTGCAATCAGTTTAGGTCTCACTGAAAGTGGTGCAATGAGCCTTGAGCCTCTGAGAACATAATCACTTAGGGTTGAGAGTGCATTACAGATTTTGTAGTAAGGTGCAAGTGTGACATCAAGTGCTTTGATTGAGGCAGGCCAGCCACTTTATATTTGTGAACGCAAAGCAACCAGTTCAGGGCAAGTTGAACAGGCAGAGTCAGAGTCAGCAACTGGAAGTGAGGACATGGCAGCAGCAACTTGAGCTATCATTTCATGATCTGCATCTGATGTGGGATGGGAAGAAAAAGACAGGGGCAGGCGAGAGAGACAGTCAGCTGTATAGTTTGGAGAACCTAGGCAGACCAGCGGGCGATGCACATGCCAGCCCGATTAATCCCTTTGGTGCTCAGCAGTGTTGTCAGAGCTTGGTGGTCTGTCTGCAGAGTAAAACGTCGGCGTCACAAATATGTTCTCCATTTCTCTGCAGCCCACACACAAGCATAAGCTTCTTTTTCAATAGTTGAGTACTTTTGTTGTGTTGCAGACAGTGTGCGGGGAGCAAACGCCACAGGTTTTTCTGTGCCATCAGATTGCACTTGAGCAAATACAGCACCAAGCCCATAGTCACTTGCATCAGTAGAGATCACTACACGCAAGGCAGGGTCAAACAGTAGCAGTGCAGGACTATTCACCAGGAGTTTTTTAACTTCTTCAAAGCTCGCTTGTGCATCTAAAGTCCGTGTGAAGGTGTTCTTGTCGCTAGCACAGGCATGCATAGGGGCTACAACAGTTGCAAAGTTTGGCAAGAACTTGGAGTACCATGACATCAAGCCCAAGAAGGATCTCAAAGCAACAGCATCAGATGGGGGAGGGGCTCTTAAAACAAAATCAATATGCTCCTCATCAGGAAGAATGCCATCAGCAGTGACAACATGACCTAGGAAGCATAGTAATGTCTTCCTAAAATGGCATTTGTTTTCGTTAAGCACAAGTCCAGCATCTTTGAGCTTCTGCAGGATAGTGTTAAGGTTTTGGTCATGCTCAGCTGCACTTTTACTGTAGACAGTAAGGTCATCCAGGTAATTTTGGAGACCTGGGAGGTCTTTTTTAAGGATTTCAGCCATCACTTTTCTGAAAAGCTGAGGGGGCAGAGGCCAGTCCATAAGGTACTCTGCAGAATCTGAAGAGTCCATCATGTGTAATGAATGCTGTCAAATCTCTGCTATCTTCATGCAGGGGCAGCTGGTAGTATGCATTTGCAAGATCAATTGTAGAAAACCTCTTTGCACGCTGTAAGCTGGCAAACAATTCATCTACATGTAGTAAGGGGAAGCAATCAGTGATCACAGCTTTGTTTGGTTCACGGAGGTCTGCACACAGCCTTATTCCACCAGTTTTCCGTCCTGTCACAACAATTGGGGATACCCATGGTGATGCATCAATCCGTTCAATGACACCAGCTTTGAGTAAACGATCCAGTTCTGCTGAAACTGAAGCCCTCACAGCAAACGGGAGACGTCGCAGCTTCTGACGGGCAGGTTTGACTGTTGGGTCAACTTTCACTTTATACACAAAGGCACGCACACAGCCAATATCTGGGGCAGCAGGGATGCAAGAAGCAGGTGATGGATTTGTAGACATCACAGAAGCAGTAGGATCAGTACATGGAGGTAGAGCAGTATTGCCTGCAATGCTGACATTCAGTGCTTCCATCAGATTTCTTCCAAGAAGAGGAGTTTCTTTTTTTTACAACAAAGAACACAGCTGAGGCAGATGCATTTCCTCTGCTCACTGTGACTTGCAGGCAACCTAACAGGAATTGTTTTCTTTGTGTATGTAACCAGT